GAAGCCTGGCCCCTAGTTCAAGGCTCACCCAGGGACACAGAACCAGGAGGAGACACGGGAAGAGATTGTCTGCAAGGAGTTGGCTTACACTATTGTGGAGACAGCTTGGGCAGACCTGAAGTCTGTGGGCCAGGCTGGCAGGAAGGGCAGTCTCGACTGCAGGCTCTGGGTGACTGCCGCCTGCGAGCAGAATGTTCTTATCTTCCTCAAGGAAGCCTCGGCTCTGTTTCTAGAACCTTGCAACTGACTGGGCCAGGCCCACCTAGATTATCTGAGATAATCTCTCTCACTTAAATCAGCTGACTGTGGACTTCATTCACCTCTACAAAATACCCTGACAGCAACACCTGGATTACTGTTGTGAGAACGCCTGGGACTGTAGCCTAGCAATGCTGACATAGGAAACTCAGCTGATGACCCCCAGGCTCCTGCCCTTGGTCTGTCTTCCTCCTCATCTGAAGTGACTAGAAAATGATGAGGATCTGAAAGCTTTGGAAAGCCCCCTAAAATACCTTGCACCCCAACACCGCATTTCCCAGCAGAGCTCGAGAAGGGCTTCAAGGCTACTCCCGCACCTTGTGTGCTCAGACAATTGTGGTCATGCTCCCTTTTTTTACAAGCCAAATGCCTCTATTACATCTTAATTACATGCTATTTAATTCTCATAACCTTCAGTAATTTCTTGTTTTTCAACAAAGTATATCAGGCTTGTAGGAATGGCTTTTAAGCCTTCCCCATTAAGGCATTAGGGGAAATGTAATTTTAACAAAGGGCATTTTTGTGGTGGTGGTTTCCTTGGATTCACTTAGTTCTGTTTTTCAACTGATGGATTGTTTCTGGTTTATGAGAATGTCTGTGAAATAAAAAGTAATGAGAAGAAAGCGTGTAGACTGATGTAGCTATTTCTCTTTCCCCGTCGTCTTAGAGCAAACCTGAGCCCCACCCTGAAATTCACCATGTCCGTGAACAATGACAAGGTCAAATGACTTGGCAATACTTACAGTGTTATATATGGTAATGGTGCACAGTAATATTACTTATAAAAACTAACATATAGCATTTACTGTGTTCAGGCACTCTATGCTTCTTTGATGCTCACAACAGCCCATTTTACAGATGACAAAACTGAGACACAGAACTCCTGGATGGCTGAACCAATGTCATAAGTTCTTAAGCTCTGGGACAGGATTCGTACTCAGATGTCTGGCTCTAACCTCCAGGCTCCCAACCATGCATGAAAGTGCTGCTCACTAGACATGAGATATTTTCGTGTTTGAATTGATGATGCATCACCTAAGATGACAGTTTTTGTGACCTTTAATTGTTTTCTATAATGAAGGGGGGGTTGCTGCCATAAGTGAAAATCTGCTACGAGGACTTGAGGTCAGCCCCCGTGGCAAAGAAAGTAGCTCTAAGAAGTGATGGCACCGTGTATGGCCCGGGACCAGCAGGCCCTCAGAACCATGGACACCTGCCTGTGGTGACCTGTTATTTGACACATCCCAGGCCCTGAACAGGTGGCTGGGGCAGGACACCATTCCCTGCTTCTGGCAGGCTTCCTGCCTTTGAAGACCACGGCCCCGGGGCCGGCTAGGAGCCTGTAAGCATCTCCGGAGTGTGTGAACCATTGACCAGCTGCTCCTGTGTGCAGAGCTGGGGTCAACCCTTAGTGGGCAGAGGATCCACCTGCCATCTCCGCCCTCCTGCCCAAGCTGGGAGGTAGGCTTTTAGCATCCTGATGGATGTCTCCCTCTCTTCTGCTTAGAATACCTGATTCTCATCACCCAGAAGGATCATGCAATTAATGGCAAGCTTCAGGTGCCTACAGTTCTCTGATAATTGCTTTAAAAAAACAACACATCCTAATAGCCACCTTAAGAACGTAGTTGCGGTCAGGCAGTTTGGAAAGAATTTCTGGTGAGTTGAGGCAAAAAGGTCATTATCTGCAAGTGTCATGCCTGTGCCCTCCCATCTGATTGCTGTGTTTTCCATTGCCTGCAGGAATGCTAACGAGCCACATAGCTGCTGGGGCCCCTCGCATCTTCCAACCTGGCGAAACAGTCAACTCCCAGCTGGGCTCCTAGCAAACGCAGGGATGCAGAGGTTGGGGAGGAGCTTTACTCAGTCAGCCCTTGGAGATGTGTGTGTGGGAGGCGAGGACATTGCTTCTGCTGTGGGTGATGCTTTTGGTCTGGGGGAGTATAGTTGGCCAGTGCTTCTTACTGAGGCACCTGGGGGCCTTGTTAACAGGCAGGTGCTGGTTCTCTGGCCTGGGCAAGGCCTGAGCTCCCATCGCTAACAAGCTCCCAGGAGATGCTGATGCTTCAGGTCCAAGTAGCAAGCGTTAGAGGATTGCTCAGACCACTTACGGGAGAGGGACGAGAGAAGCCCACGGAGGAAAAACTCTGGCCAAGGACTCATATCCACAGTAACACTAGCATGTGCTCCACACAACATCCCCTCTGCAGCGACGGGACAGTGAGGGGTCAAACTGGAATCACAGCCTACAGGGGTCACTTCCCTGCGTCGTCCGCCAACCCGGCCCAGCTTGGAAGTTGTGTGATGGTGCATCGTGTGGGCTGGTGTGTGGGGTTGGGCGTCCTAAGGGATCTGTGGGACAGAATTGGAGTTGCGGATAGTTTCACACTCTGGTATCACAAAACTAAAGAGAAAGGTGTGCCGTTGTACAGCTTCGTGTGCCGTTGACACGAAGCCACGATGCTGCCCCGACATGATCTCCGTGACTCCGTTTAAAGTTGCCTGAGTAGCCAAGTGCTCAGTGTCCTCATTTGATATGAGCCTGTGCTGAGCCACAGACGCCAGACTTACCCCGCCTAGTGCCAATTTCGGGTGTCCATAGCAAACCCACTGCTTGGGCTTAGTAAGGGAAAGCCCGAACCTGCAACTGGCAGTCTCTTCTGACAAGACTCTGGTCTCTTTATTATGTTTAAGAGCAGACCCTCCAGGCCTGGGCTGAACGCCTGAGCCCTGCCAGGAAGTCATCTGTGAAGTGAGCCTGGCCTGTGAATTGAAAAGAACATCATAGCCGTGGCCAGGATGGGCTGTTTAACCCTGTTTTCTTAATTAAATGGAAACAGAGTTCTTTATTCCCCGTTCTCAGGAGGTCGGGTTTCTCTTGCTCGCCGATAGCTGGGACGACGATGCTTGTTTGTGGAGAGCGGGAACGGAAATTCTGATCACTTTATTATTTCTTTCCTACAGACAAGCCGGTGCAGATATTGGGTGGCATGGTGCCCTCTCCTTGTTGAGGCTGATTCGTCCCTGTGCCCAAGTGTAGTCTGTCTCTTCTCCCCTGTAATCTGCTCCCCTTCCCTGCCTTGCAACCCCCACCTTTGCGCTGGTCTCTAGACAATTGGAAGGTGGGTGATGGGCTGTGGCAACCGAACTATAAACAGTGTCCGGACACAGAGGCATGAAAAGTATTTTCTCCTGAATCTTCTTTTAAAAAGAAGATTCATTTTTACTACACTTGCAAAAAACAAAAACAAAAAAACAAAAAGCCAGCCAGCTCTAGGGAATGCTGCATATTGTAGCAGAAGAATACAAATTTGTATGTTCTGTGGGGGGAAATGCAGAAAACCCCACTGTCGTCTGCAGTGTTAAGGGCCTCTGTTACAGGAACTCACACAGTAGGTCTCTGCTGGGTGCTGCAGGTTAAGGTTGTGACCACCTCTTTTACTCAAGGTCAAATTTGAGGGCACAGATTCTTGCAAGGAACCGTGGGGCCCTTCCGTTCAGTAGAGGCAGACACTGGTGTTTTGGAGCTGCACAGACCAATCAGACACACCCTGCCAAGGTATCTAGAGTGGGATGCACCACACCCACATCACAGTGGGCAGAGTCCCAGTGGGGAGGAGAAGCTTCTGGTGAGATGTCAAACAAGATCCAAGTGCTTTACTGTTTGGGTGTTGTCTTGTTCAAAAGGAGGGGTGGTGCGGGTTGGTGGGTGTGAGCACAGAGATCCAGAGGGTCCCTAGGACAGCCTTGCAGATGGGAGGAGTGGCAACAGGCAGGCATGAAGGAGTCTGCTCTACAGGATGCTCAGTGGCCCCTAGAGAGCAGAAGTGGCAATGTGCAATGCAGCGCCACCCTGCAGCGTTTGCCAGTGTGGGGTGCAGCGCCACCCTGCAGCGTTTGCCAGTGTGGGGTGCAGCTCCACCCTGCAGTGTTTGCCAGTGTGGGGTGCAGCTCCACCCTGCAGTGTTTGCCAGTGTGGGGTGCAGCGCCACCCTGCAGCGTTTGCCAGTGTGGGGTGCAGCTCCACCCTGCAGCGTTTGCCAGTGTGGGGTGCAGCTCCACCCTGCAGTGTTTGCCAGTGTGGGGTGCAGCTCCACCCTGCAGTGTTTGCCAGTGTGGGGTGCAGCGCCACCCTGAAGCGTTTGCTAGTGTGGGATGCAGCTCCACCCTGCAGTGTTTGCCAGTGTGGGGTGCAGCGCCACCCTGAAGCGTTTGCTAGTGTGGGATGCAGCTCCACCCTGCAGTGTTTGCCAGTGTGGGGTGCAGCGCCACCCTGAAGCGTTTGCTAGTGTGGGATGCAGCTCCACCCTGCAGTGTTTGCTAGTGTGGGGTGCAGCGCCACCCTGAAGCGTTTGCTAGTGTGGGATGCAGCTCCACCCTGCAGTGTTTGCTAGTGTGGGGTGCAGCGCCACCCTGAAGCGTTTGCTAGTGTGGGATGCAGCTCCACCCTGCAGTGTGCAGTGTTTGCTTGTTTCTGGACTAGGGAACTCTGAATTATACCTTTTGCCACTGACTCACTCTGACCTTGAGCAACGATCTCGCTCCCTTCCCAGTCCGGTCCTCAGCTCATCCAGTTGTGAAAATGAGGATCTCAGCCTTGACATACCACACAGGGCTTTCGGGGTGACCAGCAAATGACCCCAATTTGACAGTTCTTGTTTGGTTAAGAAGTGCACTGGCCCCAGTGCCCCCGTGGCTCCGCAGAGATCGCTCATGTCTCTCTTGTCCCTTCTGTGTTGCAGGAATAGAGCTGTGCCCCCCCGGAAAACGGTTCATGATCACCATGGTGGCCAGCTTTGTGGCCATGGCAGGGCAGCTCCTCATGCCCGGGCTGGCGGCCCTGTGCCGGGACTGGCAAGTGCTGCAGGCTCTCATCATCTGCCCCTTCCTGCTCATGCTGCTCTACTGGTCGTGAGTACCCCCAGCCCGCCCGGGCTGTCCCCCACCAGCTGCGGCCCTCACGGCCACGCCCCACCCCAGGGGCAGGCAGGGGGAGCACAGGGCCCGACCCGCTATTCCCAGACTTCCCTCGTTTCAGCTTGTGTTTTGTGAGGGAGTGTTCCTCTCCCCCCTCCCCTTTCGTCATTTTTTATGTCTTAACTTGGGAAATGTTCAAACCTGCACAAAGCACAGAGTGGAGAGAGCCCCAGTGCCCGCACCAGCTCTGAACACACTCTCTCATCAGGCTGGTTTCACAGCTGCTCACTGGGTTATTTGGATGTGATTTCCATGATGGATCTGCCAAGGGGGGGATCCCTGTGTTAGGAGGGGAAATAGGGAGATGGTCAAGGAGTGACTCAGCAACCTACCTCATCTCCTCTGGACGAGGAATGGGCAAAGGCCGGGCCCTGGGCCACCACCCCGACAGCCACTGCCACTCGGGCTGTGTGGCCTGCAGAGCCCAGAATATGTGCTGTGGTCCTGTGTAGGAAAAGTCTGTTTCACCTGCTCTAGATAAGCTCGGCAGGAATTTTAGGGCTATGTGTAGCTGTTAAGTTTCTAACTTTTAAGTTTTGGGCTTGCTGACTTTAGGAAAAAAGAAACAGCTGAGCGCACTGGTCTGGGGTGTGTCCTGGGCAACTAGAGTTTTTAAACTCCCAGGGGATCAGCTATAGCCAAGGTTGAAGGCCACCCCTCTTAGAGATGTTCAGAGAAAATGAGTGCTCTAGCCTTTCTATGAATAACTCTTCTTTCCCTCCCTTCCGTTACTTCCCCACAAGTACAGGTACTGTCTGTAGACTGTGACACTATACTATTTCTGTCCCTTCATCGTCAATGGCAACCAGATGTCTGGCAAGAGGTCAATCCGTGTGTCTCAGCTTTGTTCACAGGAGCGGAGAGGGCACCACTGGGGCTTCCTTTTCAAAGGTGCAGCGGAGTGTGGGGGGAGAGTCCTTGCTTTTTAACTTCATGGTACTGGCTACCCACCTGGGTCACCACCCCCCCAGCAGAGAAAAATCGGTGAGCGAGGTGCAGGTACCTTTTCCTCTAGAGCCCAGTCCTTGCTCACAGTGTCCTAAGAGCCTCAACAGCAGCGAGGAGCTAGAGGCCACCTGCCGGGGAGGCCCCATCGCAGTAGCTACCACACTGCAGTCCTATCGCCCCCGCCTCTGCCGGGCTCCTGCACCTGAAGTCGGATATCACTGCCTTCCGGCAGGAGCCTCGCAGGTCTCAGAACATCCTGTTCCCTCCAGCAGGGTCTGAAGAGGCAAAGAATGGCCCTGGCTGGTGTGGCTCAGTTGGTTGACTGTCCTTCTCTGCACCAAAGGGTTGCCCGTTGGATTCCCAGGTCAGGGCACATGCCCAGTAGAGGGCGTGCAGGAAGCAGCCAAGCACCCTTCCTCTCTCTCTAAAAGTCAATGAAAATATTTTAAAACAGAGGCAAAGAATGAAATGGTTCTGCAGAGCAGGATGGAGTGGGCAGCTCTTCCTTCAGTCGGAGGAAGCCCTTCCTGTTCCCTCCCCCACATCCGGAGCTGGGCTGTGCTTGTTTTGGAATTTGGGGCATTTATTTATTCAACAAATGTTTGTGTAATGTCTAGTCTATACCAGACGCAAAATGCTAGCACTACACAAGAGTAGATCATGTAGTCTTCCTGTTCACCACCCCATTGAACAGATGACAAAACCGAGGCCGCCCAGCTGCCCCTTAAACGCAGCACATCAAGCTGTTTCCCGCCTTCCCTCAGCTGCTGCGCCTTGACCCTGGCCACCAGGGACACTTGTCCTGGGAGAGGAGCCTCGTTGCCCTAGAGGATCTTCTGCGTGGTCTGGCATCCCCCCACCTACATTCTCTCACTTCCTGGCCTCCACAGCACCCAAGGGCACAAGCGCTGTCTGCTAGCCCCTGGGGGTGGGGGGCCAGGGGCCCACAGCTTCTTGGAGACTCACACCTGTAAGGGCAGACAGGGCTGTCTCCATTACCTCCAGGCTCTGAGTCTCAGCCCGGTTCTGCTCCCACCTGTCCCAGGTAGGACACCTGATGGGGAGAAATGGCAGAGAAGGTTTCCTGGAGCAGGTCTGGAGTCCTGGCCCTCGTGGGAAAGGGCTGGGGTTTTCACTTGTCTTGTTCTTTCTCATTTAAATTTATAATACATCAGGGTTTAATGGCAGGCGAGGTAAGATGTTCATTTATTCAAATACATGCCAAAACCTAAGAAAAGTTCTTTGAAACACACAATTGTAAAAACAAAACTTTACGGTATCAAGGATGTCCAGGGTACTCTGACAAGTAAAGTGTGTGTGTGGACAGAGGGACGGACATCCAGATGCACAGACTCCATGCAGTCACTGCCACACATCTTACCTCTGTGATCATAATGGGCATTATTTCTCATTCATATTATTATTCAAGGGGCAGGGCACATGTCTGGCCTGCACGGGTGCTCGCTAGCGTTAGCTGCTGTTATGATGATTATGTCGCTGCTTCACCTATGTGGCAGCGGGTGGCCCGGGGAAGGTAAAGAAATCTGTGGTGAGAGACGCATTCCACCTCGCCTTTCTGACTTGAAAGCCCCCATAGCTATCATTGACTTTTGAAGGCCACTGCGGTGCCTCCTTTTTTATGGTCTGATTCCTACCCTTGTCGCATCTGCTGCAGTGGGAGCCTGGGGCTCCTGAGGCTCTATGGTTTGAGAGGGTGAAGTGGGCTGTCAGGGGAAGGGGTAAGCAGCACCACCCACAGGACCAGCCCTTGGTGACGAAATATAGAATGTCACTTGCTTTCCTTTAGTGAGCAAGTGTTTATTTTGTGCGCCCAGAGCCCAGCAGTGCATTAAGAGTAGAGCATTAACAAGGATCATAACCCAAACTGCATGACACAGTGTTACGGAGACTCAGGGTCCTGGGCTAGAAGCAGTAACGACAAAGGTGGAGAGGGGCCGGAGGGGGTCTTCTGGTCCCAGTGGAGGGCTAGACTGGCAGGGCCGTTCCAAACACACACAGATGCCAAAGATGTCACATTAGCCAAACAGACACGCAATGCTGAGCTCCAGTGCAGGACAGGAGGATTCCCAGGGCCAGACTAAGGAGAGCGTCAAGCAGGCGTGGACCCAGGCAGCCCACAGGCACCTGGCCCAGGAAAAGGAGCTTGGGTTTTAACACCTGCACAGGAGGCTGGAGCTGAGATCTCAGGCCTGATATGCACTAAGAATCGGGCCCCTTATGAAGCCAGGAGTCAGAGCTGTAGGTGGTAACAGGACTGGAAAAATCTTCCCCCACTGCAGAGACTAAACTCCAAGCTGGCTGACTGCCTGGGGCTGAGGGCAGGAAGGTTCATCCTGAAGACACTGGAGCCTCAAAGTCTGCACCACATGCTATGTGCTCTAAATTCCAGCCCCTCTCTGAGGCTGAGGCATTAGCGTAGAACCATGAATTCGTTGGACCCTCAAGGTCAAAACAAACCTCCTGGGAAATCTACTCAAGACTCATGTGGAAGAAAATGTTTGCCAAGGATGATCTCACAGGCAAAGTTCACAGAGTCCTAAACATCCACTGTGAGGCCCCAAACTGTAAATTGAGGAGTTTGCATCCCAGAAAATCGAGCAATCTGAGAGATAAGTTAATTCAGCTAATCTATTGAGTGGTTACACTCCCCACACCAGGTGGTGTTCTGGACACTAAGTGTTCTACATATTGCACGTGCATAGGGCAGATCCCCACGCACCGAAGCTGTCTTCACAATGGGGTGTCGGGTGAGAGAGCCCACTAACCATGGAGCTGCAAACAAGCAGAGCAAGCCTTCAGATAACCAGCACGTGAAGAGAGTGAGGTGCAGGCGGAGAGGCCGTGCTGAAGGGGTGACATCTCCCGGAGGCCTAAGTGGTCAGAGGAGGAAGTCACACAGTTCTGGGCGTAATCACGTTCCCAGCACACGGAGCAGCCAGGGAAAAAGCCAGCGTCCGTGCGGCTCCTGGGAGAGGAGGCAGAAGCCAGTGTGGCGCGAACATGCGGGAAAAGGCAGGGCTAAAGACAGTCAGACGTGGGGGGTCAGCCAGGTGGGGTTTATTCTAAAGCAAGAGGACAGGTCGGAATTTGCTCAGGGCAGGAATGTGCTCTCGTGCGTGCTCTGGGTGGATCTTCACTGGCACACAGGGATGAGAGACGGCACTAACCCGGGTTTGCACGGTTTGCCGAGATGGGCCTGAGCTCCCCCAAGAGACGGTGATGTTAGTGCCACTTTCTCACAAGGTCAGTGCCTGCCATCACCACACCTCAAAACGTGAATTAAGGGAGCGGAGTATGCAGGATGCTTTGTGAAAACAAGAGGTGCAGGTCCGCTTGGGACCCGCCTGTGCAGGGACAACGTGATGCCTGTTCACTGATGTTCCCGGGAGGTCTCTCGCCACACGGGAGCGCGGCCCTTCCTCAGGCAGCGTTTGCCAGGTGTCAGAGGCCATCCTAAACCTGGCAGCTGCTGTGCCGCTGTGCGGGATGCCTGGCCAGGCGCTGTGACATATGCTGATCTGAGCATGTCTGAATGTTAGGGACACACTTCCCCAAGGTCAACGAAAGTCTCCCTGTGTATGGGTCCACTAGCCAAAATATTCCTGGGTTAGGGAGGAGCGGGCGAGCTGTGCGCGGCCGGGCAGCCGGGCAGCGCCGTGGGGAAAAGGCGTGTGCTCGAGGGATTCTAATTTCCAACAACTCCCCAAAAGCCAGTGTAATACACTCAGAATGGCCTCAGGTTAGATAAATATTCAGAAAAAAATTTGTTCACAATTCCAGTATGTAAATGGCCCTAAATATCACTGGCTCTTTTAAATATCATGAGAAATGTTTTGGCCAGAATAATCCTAATTTAGACACTTCTTGAAAGTTTGCTCTGCCTCGCGCTGCTAAGCACGTTCTACAGCTTAGCCCTTTAATCCTCTCGTGGACCCTCTGGAGCAGGCCCTGGGATAGCCTCCAGC